GGTACAGGCAATATTTATTCTGCACAACTGTGTAGAAGATAATAGCTCTTACATACAAAAAAATAGCACTGCAGGCGAGGGAAACACTATGTCCCTTTATTTTTTCAATTTACTGTCTCCATCTGATTAAAACAAGTCTTAGAAGAAGAGCACGCAATGCAACTTTGTCCAAACTGGAGCTGTCTCCACATTCTTCCTTATAAAATATCTCACAATAGTTGCTACACAACCAAACACGATCCACCGAGTCTGGTTTAGATCAGCTGTTCTGCATTTTGTTAACATGTTATTTCAAGCAAATGAGCCAACATAGCAACAAGTGTTGGATCGTTAAACCTGCAGCAAGAATCGCCGAAACACACGTCGTCAGACTGAAGCGCTGCGAGTGCCTGACGGACACTATAAACACCCCCCGACCCCCCAAAAGGAGAGGTCACAAGCAGGAACATACCAGACTTCTTGGGAACTTTCCATTTTAATGACCCTGACCTCTTGTACTGGACTGTTTGCATATCTTTGCTCCAAAAAAAGGGGGGCACATCCCTCACGAACCACAGGGAGCTGCACACACATCGACTGTACACTTAGTCTCCATTAAATAAAAACACCTTTTTTTAAACATGATGACGGGACGAGAGGCTGGCCACTAATGTCTGGCAGCCCACGAGCTTCGGGCGGATCGGTCAGGGTGGGTCGAAGCAGCAGAGAACGCTATGTGATCTGGCAGGAGGCCATGTTTTCGTTTCATTCCAAAGCATTTATGAAGAGGAAGAAACTCAGACCCTCCTCATGTTTCGACCCTCACAACTTGACCTCTGCGTCCCCTCTGCACTACACCGTTATGTAACCTCCGCCCGCCTCCCCGGAGGCTGCTGATGCTGTAAATATCACGGGAACACGCTGTGCAGACGATTTCAAGATACACCGGTTTGGTTCTCTGCACTGCCTCAAACACTTCCTTCCACGTCACAGTGCATGAGAAGAAAGTCTGAGATAAGGTCTCCGCTTTTTGCATAACTGCAGTCAAGCGTAATACGTCCCTGCCGTGACACACGTCACCACTGAAAGGTCACGGCAGCTGTCAAGTGGTTTATAGTAGAGACACCGAGCCACCGTTCAATGTAAGTGTCTCTGACTGTTTACATGAATTGTAAACCAAAGTCTGGTGTTCACATGTCCAGCTGTTCAAACTCTTGGGTCTGCATGAACACTGGCTGCTTGATGTGTCAGTATCACGCAGCAAACTCCAAAAACTGCAGTTCTTCGACTGGCCACTTGAGGCTGAATCCAATCCTCATAGACTCCCAGTCTTAAAATGCCCAACTTAAGAAAATAAATAACAAACAAAAACAAATTTACATCCTGATATTAACTAAATGATAAATGGCAAAGACATGCCTGTC